ACACACAAATAAAAAGATTCCCCACATGTTCCCATATGTTCTGGCTTCTTGTCTTCCCCCTACTTCCATATTTCCTTATATTTTCTGGGGAATCGACGATGAATTGTGTCTGTGTGTTCTTTCCCCTCCTGAACCTCGGGGCCCCGAGGTTGGAAAAAACCTCCGGGAGCAGGCGAGAACGTCCGAGACCGTCCGAGAGCCTTGCTCCTCAAACCTTCGGAACGTTGCTGCCGTTCCTCCCGACGGGGTCTGCCGCGTCGGCTCGGTGAGGGACCGTGCGGTGACCTCGAAATCCCCCAAGACCTCACCGCACGGTCTGTCACCGCACGGTCTTGGGACCTCGGAGGCCCCAGTCGCCCGAGACGTCCTCGGAGAACGACCCGAGTCCCAAAACCGTGCGGTGACCCCGAATCCCCACCAACTCACCGCACGGTGTGGTCACCGCCCCGTTTGGGGACCCCCGACGGGAGTCCACTGACCCGTCAATCCAACCCGGGGCAATCAGGCCTCGTAAGACCCTGCGAGATCCTGAGGGATCCTTCCAGATCCTGCGCGCCGGCCGGCGCCTGTGCGCACCCGGCCCCGCAGGATGCTGCAAAGATTCGGCGCTCTGGCTGACACACGTTTGCACTGGCCCCCGTCTCAATGCTCCCGACCACTCTGCTTCCATGAGGCGCCGGGGCCTGTCCGGCGGAAGGGCGTTTCCTCCACCAGCTTTCGGGATCCCAGGGCCTGCTCCTTCTCCTCCACCTCCTCGCCAAGGTGGTCGTCGTCATCCCCTCCCTCTCGTCCTGATGCTGCTCGTCGTCGTCATCGTCGTAGTCGTCGTAGTCCTTCCCGTCTCAAGGCTCCCGAAGGGGCCCGTCGTGTCAACGGCGGTCCTCCCTCTCTGGGCCTCCTCCTCAAAAGCGGCCCTCCTGGAGGTCCTCCTGCTCCTCCTCCCCCTCCTCCTCCTCCTCCTCCTCCTCCATTTTTCCTCATAAATAACTTTTCCCTGTCGCACCCCGAAACAATGTTTTAGGGCGTGCCGAACATTTCGCCTGAGACTTCCTTACCATCTATGACCCTGAAGCTCAACATTGGCAACAGTTTCACAGATGGAGGGCGGGCCGTTTTCAAAATGTGGTTCTCGCCTTAGCGCCGCGCACATTCGCTTGAACAACTTACGAGAGCCTCACGAATTTAGGGCGGGCGGTTTTCAAAATTAGCTCTCGCCTTAGCGCCGCGCTCATTCGTTGTAAACAGTTGCAAGAGTTTCACGGATTGAAGGCGGTTGATTGTCAACATGAGGTTCTCGCCTTAGCGCCGCGCACATTCGTTGAAAGGTGCGACCATTTCACGGATTGAGGGCGGGTGGTTTGCAACATATGGCTATCGCCTTAGCGCCGCGCACATTCGTTGTAAACACTTGCAAGAGTTTCACGGATTGCGGGCGGGTGGATTTCAAAATGTAGCTCTCGCCTTAGCGCCGCGCACATTCGTCTTAAAAGTTGCAAGAAAATAACGGATTCCCATGGTCAGCGTACCTGGTGTCTTGGAGAGATTCATGGTCATAAGGGTGCAAGTGGTACGCTGATTCGCGGAGTTGAAGTTACAGGCATGGCGTTTTGGCACGACTCAGGATCGTCAGGACGCAAAAATCAAGCGGATCCGTGGCGTTGGAGTCCCGAGAATAATGTCTTGGCATGCGTCAGGGTCTCCAAACGGTTAACGTCCAACGAGGCAGTTCCCTCAGTGGAAATGAACCCTTGTAGAGGCCTATTATAAAGGAGCTTGGAGGGAGGGTTTATGCCAACATCGTTGCTGACCCTTGGGTTTACACTGGTCCTCTTCCTCCTCCTCCTCCTCCTCCTGGTCGGAATCGGAAACGGAAGCACTGGGAAGGGACAGCAGAGCAGCAGGAGAGGAGGAGGGGCATTAAGGGTCGAAGCACCAGACTTCGCCCTCGTCCTCCGACGCAGGGCAGCTGAGGTCAGCGTCCTGAAAACAAGATTCGGCGAACACCTCAAGGAGTACGGCCATCTCCACGGTCGGTCGCATCCTCACTACCAAATCCTTTCTCCCACAAGCAAGTTACCTCAATTTACGACGGCCACAGCACGGCGTGATCTGACACGCTGCGTGTCTCCTCGAACAACGTCTTGAAAAGGTTCCAAGGCTCAGCGGAGAGATGCACGTGGGAGCAGCAAACTCATGCACAAAATGTGTGTCACAGATCGCAGCAATCAGGTCAAGTACCGCGGCCATCCGCCAAACACTATGATCCTCACGCACCATCCCTCTCTTCTCGGTCGAGAAGTCCCGACGGCCCCAGGGAACTCAACCGAGCGGACAGGCCGTGCGAGACCCGAGGCAACCAGTCCAGGAGCAGACGGATCGGCCCAGGCGACTCCCCCCGCAACCCAAATGAGAGCCACGGCACCCGACCTCGCAAGGGGAACCAAGGTCCCGCAGCCTCTGAAAACTAGCTCCTCCTCCTCCTCCTCCTCCTCCTCCTCCTCCTGTCGTGTCGGCGTGCCATCCTTGGGGGCCGGACTCGGGGGGCGGCTCCCGGTGGGCCGTCTCTCTCGTGGGGCCCACTCCCTGGGAGGCGGCCGCCCAGGCGAAGCGCCCGCGGCGCGGCAACGCGCGGGGGGAGGTCCTCCTCCGCCTTCTCCCGCTGCAGCTTGGCCTGCTTCATCTCCATCTGCTGCACGTAACTCGCGCGGAGGCGAGGAGGACTCTGAGACCTGGAAATCCGCGCCGACACCAACACGGGGGGGTGCATCAACCGGGGGAAGAGGATCCTGGATTTGGGTGGTGATCATCTCTCGGCCACCAGAGAAGCCCGAATCTGACCAATATTACCGGGATCAAGATCATCTCTCTCTCTGTGGAAGAGGCATCCACCAGTGCTGGTGGTGGTACGAGTCGGTATGAGAGTGCGCGCCCACAGAGCCGGAGCAAAGGGGGGGGTCCCCTATTAGCTACCCCCCCTCCATTCCACCTCCCCTGCTGGAACTTCCCCCCCTCCCCCCCTTTTTCGCCTCCCCCCTGGCGCTACCCCCCCCATCCCCCCCTTTCGCCACTCCGAAACTCCCCCCCCTCCACCCCTTTCCAAAGGGAAGGTGGACTTAGCTACCCCCCCCCCCCCCTTGACCCCCCTCTGCCGGAAGCTGCCCCCTCCCGGCTTTGGCTCTTAAGGGCTTAGCAGCCCCCCCCCCCTCCCTTACGAAAGGAGAGGGAAGCTTAGCTACCCCCCCCCCCTCCTTCGACCCCCCTCTGCGGGAAGCCCCCCCCCCCTTCCCTCCATTTTTCTCCCCCCTTGCCAGAAGCTCCCATCCCCTCCCCCCCCTTTCCATAAGGAGCCCACAAAGGACGTACGCGCCCAGCTATGTACATGAACATGGCCTCTCGATCCGCGAGACCGGCCGCGTTATACGAACATTTGCGCAATGCGTACTCTCGAAACCAACGTGGATTCATGTACGTGTACGTCCTTCTGTCGCTCCTGATTCCAAAAGGGGAGGGGCGGCTTAGCTAACACCCCCCTCCCTTGAACTCCCCCTGCCGGACGATCCTCCCCCATCGCCGTCGTCGTTGCCCTCGCCATCGCTCGACGTCTTCGTACGACGCCGTCGTCGTCCTCGTCGTCGCCGTCGCCGCCGTCGCCGTCATTGTCGCCGTCTTCGTATGACCGCGTCGTGGTCGTCACGAGGAGGACGAGGTCATACGAAGACGACGACGGACGACAGACGACGCACGACCGACGACCGTCCACGACGACGACCCAGGGTGAGAGAAAACGAGACCACGACCCAGGAGCTGAGAAAACGAGGAAACGAAGCAGGGTCCGAGAAAACAGGACCAAGGCCCAGGGGCCGAGAAAACAAGAAAACGCACCAGGGTCCGCAAAAACGAACCAGGGTCCGAGAAAACGAGACCACGACCCAGGGGCAGAGAAGACGCGAGAAAAAACCAGGGTCCGAGAAAACGAGAACACGACGCAGGGGCCGAGAAAACAAGACAACGAGAAAACAAACCAGTGCCCGAGAAAACGAAACCACGACCCAGGGGCCGAGAGAACGAGAAAACGATAAAAGCTAACCAGGGCCCGAGAAAGCGAGAACACGGCCCAAGGGCCGGGAAAACGAGAAAACGAGCCAGGGCCAAAGAAAACGAAATAAAAACCCAGAAGTCGAGAAAACGCGAAAACGAGACAATGAACCAGGGCCCGAGAAAACGAGATAACGACCCAGGGGCGGAGAACACGAGAAATCGAGAAAACCAACCAAGGTCCGAGCAAACGAGACCACCACCCAGGCCGAGAAAACGCGAATATCGGTCCGAGAAGACGAGACCACGACCCATGGGCAGAGAACATGGAAAAACGAACAAGGGTCCGAGAACACGACACTACGACCCAGGGGCAGAGAACACGAGAAAACAAACCAGGGCCAGAGAAAACGAGACCACGACCCAGGGGCAGAGAAACCGAGAAGGCTAACCAGCGTCCGAGAAAACAAAACCACTACCCTGGGGCAGAGAAACCGAGAAAACGATAAAGCTAACCATGGTCCGAGAAAGCCAAACCACGACCCAGGGGCAGAGAAAACGAGACCACGACACAGGGGCCGAGAAAACGAAATGGGGTCCGAGAAAACGAGACCACGACCAAGGGGCAGAGAAAATCGAAAACGAGAAAATCAACCAGGGTCTGAGAAAACTGGACCACGACCCAGGGGCCGAGAAAACAAGAAAACGAGAAAACAAACCAGGGTCAGAGAAAACGACACCACCACTCAGGGGACGATAAAACAAAAAACGAGAAAATCAACCAGGGTCAGAGAAAACGAGACCACGACACAGGGGCCGAGAAAACGATAAAACAAGACAACAAATCGGGGCCCGAGAAAGCGAGACAAAAACCCTGGGGCCAAGAACACGAAAAAAGGAACCAGGGCCCGAGAAACCGAAACCACGACCAAGGGGCCGAGATCACCAGAAAACGTGAAACGAACCAGGGTCCGAGAAAACGAAACTACGACCCACGTGCCGAGAAAACGAGAAAACGAAAAACCAAACCAGCGTCAGAGAAAACGGGACCACGACCCAGGGGCAGAGAAAACGAGAAAACGACCCACAATCAAAGAAAACAAAACCACAATACAAGGACCGAGAAACGGAGAACGAGAGAAACCGAACCAAGGTCCGAGAAAACGGGACCACGATCCAGGGGCCGAGAAACCAAAAAGCGAACCAAGGTCAGAGAAAACGAGACCACGACCCAAGGACCGAGACCACGAGAAAACGAGAAAACGAACCAGAGTCCAGAGAAAAATGAGAACACGACCCAGAGGCAGAGAAAACAAGAACACGCGAAACTAAACCAGGGTCAGAGAAAACTGGACCACGACCCAGGGTCCGAGAAAGCAAGAAAACTAACCAGGGTCCGAAACAACAATACCACGACCCAAGGAACGATACAACAAGAAAACAAGATAACGAATCAAAACCCGAGCAAACGAGACCACGACCCAAGGGCACATCAAACACGAAAACGAATCAGGGTCAGAGAAAACACGACCACAACCCAGGGGCCGAGAGAACGAGAAAACGATAAAAGCTAACCATGGCCCGAGAAAGCGAGAACACGGCCCAAGGGCCGAGAAAACACGAAAACGAACCAAGGCCCAAGAAAACAACATAAAAACCCAGAAGCCGAGAAAACGCGAAAACGAGACAATGAACCAGGGCCCGAGAAAACGAGATAACGACCCAGGGGCGGAGAACACGAGAAATCGAGAAAACTAACCAGGTCCGAGCAAACGAGACCACGACCCAGGCCGAGAAAACTCGAATATCGGTCCGAGAAGACGAGACCACGAACCATGGGCAGAGAACATGAAACAACGAACAAGGGTCCGAGAACACGACACTACGACCCAGGCGTAGAGAACACGAGAAAACAAACCAGGGCCAGAGAAAACGAGACCACGACCCAGGGGCAGAGAAAACAAGAAAACGAAACAGGGTCCGAAAAAACAATACCACGACCCTAGGAACGATACAACAAGAAAACAAGAAAACGAATCAAAACCCGAGTAAACGAGACCACGACCCAAGGGCACAGAAAACGCGAGAACGAATCAGGGTCAGCGAAAACACGACCACGACCCAGGGGCCGAGAAAGCGAGAACACGGCCCAAGGGCCGAGAAAACAAGAAAACGAACCAGGGTCTGAGAAAACGAGACCACGACCCAGGGGCCGAGACAACGAGAAAACGAGAAAACAAACCAGCGTCCGACGAAACCACGACCCAAGGGCCGAGATCACCAGATAACGCTTGATTCGAGAAAACGAGACCACGACCCAGTAGCTGAGAAAACGAGGAAACGAGAAAGCGAATCAGGGTCAAAGAAAACGAGACTACCACCCAGGAGCCGAGACAACCACAAAACGAGAATACTAAGCAGCGTCCGAGAAAACAAGACTACGACCCAGGGGCCGAGAAAACGAGAAAACAAAGCAAAGTCTGAGAAAACGAAACCACGGCCCAAGGGCCGAGAAAACGAGAAAACGAGAACACGAATCAGGGTCAGAGAAAACGAGACCGCGACCCAGGGGCCGAAAACACGAGAAAATAGGAAAACGAACCAGGGCCGAGAAAACGAGAAAACGATGAAAGGAATCAGGGCCCGAGAAAACGAGACTACGCCCCAGGGGCCGAGAAAACAAGAAAACAAGAAAACTAACCAAGGGTCGACGTTATTCTCCAATGCGTTCTCTAGCGCTGCGGTGCGCACCTGTCTGCAGGGATTCAGCCATTTCGCCAGAACCCCGGAAGGGAGGACGGGGGATAGTTTCGGAAGGCCCCCCCCTTTGCAGAGGAGGGCGGAGGGGGATAGCTTGAAGCCGCCCCCTCCCTGTGTCCAGACCAAAAAAAAGGGGGGGGTAACTTCCGAAGACCCCCCCTTTGAAAGGGATGCCCGGGCTCACCTTCTGTTTGGAAAAGGGAGGGAGGGAGGGGGATAGCTTCGAAGCCCCCCCCCCTTTAGCCAGGGCCCCCCTAGCGTAGAAACCCTTACAGAAGGGAGGGAGGTGTGGGGTAGCTTCGGAAACTCCCCCCCCTTTTTTTGGGGGGGGGTAGCTTGAAGCTGGGGCCCCCCTTTCCTTATTCCCGGCGCTGCGGGCGCGCTCTTTCGGTGGTATCAACTTCTAGGCCTCCCAAAGGCAGGGCAAGGGGGAAAGCGAGAGAGGAGAGGGACTGTGAACGGAAAGGCGAGAGGGAGGCACGGCAGGTGAAGCGGAAGGGACGGAGGAGTGGATGGATCGCTCGTCGCGCGATCGGGCAGGCGATGCGCAGAAAGCCGCAACACTCCTCGCCGTGCTCTTCCGTCTCCTCCTGCTTGTCATTCTCCCCCCGCCGCGGCCGGGCCCTGTGCAGCCGAAGTCGTACCAATGAGAAGGCCAGAGGAGGCAACGAGCAGGTCCGGAGCTCTCTCTGGACCGAAAGTGCCCTCACTGTTTCAGAGCGCTGAGGGCACAAGGCGAGCCCAGTAACCCGAGGGATGCAAAAACGCCCCTACCCTGGGTTACAAATCCGCGGTCTGTGAACCTCCTGGGATCTCCCAAAAGGCCAGAGAGCAGCCAGGACGCTGCGCGACACGCGCGATGTGCAGGGTCCACCTTGTCAGCCCACAGGAGGTTCAGCGCACAGCGCCTCGTAAACCAGGGTCGGGGCGTTTTTTACGCCCTTGAGCAAGGGCTCCCAACTTCGCGCTTCGCGCTGCGCGAAGTGCGAATAACTTCGCGCTCTCGCGCCGCCTCCCAGGGGAGAAGAGGAGGGTGAGGAGGAGTCGGAGCCGAACCGCGAAGCGCGAATAACTTCGCGCCCTTGAGGGCGCCCTTGTTGAGTAACACCCCCTCGTCCAAGCCATGCAGTCGAAGGCGCCTTTCAGGAATGTCGCAACCGAAGGCGAGGGAGAGAAGGCCGAGGCCGACGCTCCACACCTCAAGAAGGCTCCTTCAGGCAGCAAATCATCGAACGCGGCGAACTCGGCTCGTTGCAGGAGGGCACCACAGACAAGGAGGGAGCAGAAATCCTGCGAAAACGCACGACTTGAGACAAATCACGTGTGCAACGAAGAGAAGCGGATCGCACGCGAGATGGCATAGCGATGTTGAGGCCCAGTAAAGCGACCGGCGTGCTGACCCCCCCCCCTTCGCGACAGGAGGTGCGTCGCGCATTCGTCGCCCGTGCGCCGCCCGTGCGTCGGCCGCCGAAATGGCCAGCCGTCCTCTCGAACGTGCACGTCGCCCTTATGCAGCGGCTTGCGCGGGCCGCCAGCCTGGCACGCCACATTGGAGACGAGGGCGCGCCCACGCGCGGCCTGACGCGGGCGGCTTACGCGCCAGTCGGCGAAGATGACGCCGTTTCTCTGCGTCGCTCACATCAGGCCATGATTCGGGCCTCGAGCGGCCGTTCAAAACGATTCTGACCTCCCTGAACACTCTCGACCAGGCGCAACTGCGGGAAAGCATCCCGAGGCGAGAAAACCTTCGGGAACCACTGGAAAACCTCCAGAACCCGACGAGTGACCAACGAGAAACTCCATGGAGGAATCTACGAGGACTCTGGCCTCGTTTGGGGCGGCCCGACTGGAGGAGAGGAACGACGGCGGCCCACGCACCCCTCTCCACACAACCATCTGACTGGCACCCCCGAGCCCAGCGGTGTTGGCCCCGCCGGGAGGGCCAGGGAAACGGCCGACCAGAAGCGTCCCAAGCCCCCCTCGATCGCCGATCCCCCCTCGATCCCCGATCCACCCCCCGATCGCCGATCCAACCCACGATCCCCCACTCCCACTCCCCCCCTCAATCACCCCCTTCGATCACCGATCCCCCGCCGATCCTCGACCATCCAGGATCAGCCGGCATCGAATCGGGAAGCCATCTCGGATCGGATGGTTCGAGGCGCGGAACCATCAGAAGCCTCTCCCCTGCCTGTGGAGTGGCTGTTCGCTCCAGATCTTTTTTGTGACCTCCTCCTCCTCCTCCTTTTCCTCCTCCTCCTCCTCCTCCTCCTTTTCCTCCTCCTGTGACAGTCCTGGACACTTGTTGGGTGGCCCTGGGGCCCGACAGCTGGCCCGAGACTTCCAAGCGGAGAGAAAGACGCTCGACTGACACTGCAGTCGGGGCCTTGACCCAAGGAACCCTGAATAAGGAACGAGGCCCCCTTCATCCACAAGTTGAACTTCGATTTCCCATCGAGAACCAAAGGAAAACCCAAGGCAGACCGTGAAGCAATCAAGGAACACGGAGCCCCTCCCCAACGAAGAGGGTTCCTTCTCCAGGGCCCCGACTGTGCCACGCCGGCGGAGATCTGGGACCAACCTCTTCCAGCCCAGGGAGGGGGAAGGGGTCGAGGGCGCTGCTGCGCCGGCGCGGTGGCAAGGCCTGCCGCAGACAGCGGGGCACCAGAGCCGGCTCGGCTCGACCAGATTGAATTGGACCCCGCCTCCTCCTCCTCCTCCTCCTCCTGCTCCTCCTCCTCCTCCTCCTGCTCCTCCTCCTCCTCCTCCTCCTCCTCCTCCTCCTGCTCCTCCTCCTCCTCCTCCTCGTCCAGGCCCAGGACTGGTGGGCGGGCGGGCGCACGCGTGGTGCATCTCCTGCCGGGCCTGGGCGCCCCTGAGCTTCTGCGCCTCCTCGCGGCGCAACGCAGCGGCCTCGGCGCGCGGCGGGAGGGAGGAGGAGGAGGAGGAGGAGGGGGGGAGGGAGGAGGAGGAGGAGGAGGGAGGGAGGAGGAGGAGGAGGAGGGGGGGAGGGAGGAGGAGGAGGAGGGAGGGAGGAGGACGATGAAAAGGAGGAGGACGAGGAGGAGGAGGTCGGCCACTGCAAACCCCAGGCGCATCAACGACGTCGCAATACACCCTCACTCCGAATTTCCTCGTTATGGGCCTTCACGATCAATTTATTTCCGCTTCGGGAAGTGAGCCATCAGAAGAACACATTATGAGAACCCTCAATCGAGCCAAACCACTATTCCTTGAACTTCTACGCAGCGGATCAATGCGAGCCCTGACAATTTTAATTCGTGCCAGAACACCGTCCCTAGGAATTCGACCATACGAAGCCTTGAACATTTCACAACATGTTAAGACGAAAGTGCGCGGCGCTAACACAAGAACCACAGGAGGCCACAAACCGTGCGAGGGGTGCGCCAAAATGGGGCAGCGCCGCCATGTGGACCCTGCCACTTGGGCCTTCGGTGGAACTCCCTTTGGGGCCACGAACCGTGTGAGGGGTGCGCCAACATGGGGCGGCGCCGCCATGTGGCCCCTGCCACTGGAGTCTTCGGTGAAGCCTTATGAGGCCACAAACCGTGCGAGAGGTGCGCCAAAATGGGGCAGCGGCGCCATCTGCAACTTAGGCTTTCGGTGGAGCTCCCTAGGGGGCTACAAATCGTGCGAGGGGTGCGCCAAAATGGGGCGGCGCCGCCATGTGGACCCTGCCGCAGGGGCCTTCGGTGGAGCTCCCTACGGGGCTACGAAGCGTTGCACTGGGTGCGCAGAAACACAAACATGCGGAGGGCAGAGCTAATACCGAGCGCGTGGGGTGTGTGTGCCGCCGCCGGTGGGGGCATGGGCTGGGGGCAGCTCCTCGCACGGGTCCTCTCAGGGCACCCCGTGCGCATCATTCCCTGCAGTCGTGCTCCTCTGGGGGCTGGTGGCGGCGCCGCTGTGCCCGCTGGGGGGGATCGGGCCGCTGAGCCCAGCTGTATGGCAGGGGGCCCCGTCAACTGGGTTCCCCGAGCTGGCGCTGGTGCCTTGTAGAAGTTCGTCGATACCAGGTCCCTGGGACTGTGCGGAAACCCCCCGGCTGTGCACATTCCCAGAGAAAGAGAGAGAGAGAGAGAGAGAGGCTGGTGCCCCAGACTGGAACTTCCCCCGCACCCCGCACACCCGTCTGGGTCCCCACTAGGGGGAGTTCTCGTCCAGGGAGACCCCCTCGGGGTCCATGGCTAGGCCAGGTCCCGGCGCCGAGGGGGGGCGGGGCGCCGCGGGGCCCGGTGGGGGGCCGCAGGCGCGGGGCCGGAGCCCCTTGCGTTGGGTGCCCCCATGAGTGCGGGAGACTCCCGGAGGGGGGCCCGCTCACGCCTTAAGTCAAGACTACGGAACATTGCACACGAAAGCACGGCTCACACTGTCAAAGACGCCCGCGGAGGGGGTTCGGACAGCAAACACATGAAGAGGTATATGAACGGGGGCACAGCAGACACGAACCACATGAACGGAGAGGAATTTTGCAACAACCATCTGGAGGTTGTCACCAAAACAACCTGAGATCCGACTTCGCGGATAAAATGCAACGCCTCGTACCTAATATTTCTGCTGTATGTCTGAAGCCAAATCGATCCGAGCGAACCACTCAGCCCAGAAATTGGCCGCAGACCGCCCAAACTGAACAAAATAGCGGCGCTCAGATCTCAGGGAGGGAATGACAAGGATCTCCGTCGGTTGGGGCTTATCACACGACTTTGACTGAAGCCGGAGGTCCCTAAGACGGACCAAGCGGGTCCCACGAGCGTTCCAAGAGTTTGAAGGGGGCTGGGAGGCCCAGCCAGCAGCTCCGCCTTAGGCGAAGCCAAGTTCCCGCTCTGTTATACCGTAGCAACGATAATCCAAAAAGGAAAGGCTGTGCCATCTTCAACAATAGGAAGATCCTTTTGGTCTCGATCGCGATTGTGCGCCTCGCGGCGAGGCACAGTCATATTTGGGCGGCCGGCCGCTTGAGCCGACGCGGCCGCGGGCGCACGCTCACTTCCTCTCCTTACGTCCCTCAGCTCGCTTTAGTCGGGGGGGGGATGGTACAGCTCTGTACTTGAAGTACTCCTCAGGCGGCGTCAGAACTGGATGTCTGGCCGGCCCGATATGGAGTATGTCTCTTCAGGTCATGCTTGAAGGCCTCCATACCTCCCATGACTTGTAGGAGCATTTCTGTCGATGATCCCTTCGGTGTGACCATCCGCAGTCACATCGCGGGTGTCGCACCACTGGATACTGTGCACGATTCCACGTTCCATCATCTGTCGTATCCAACTGATGTGCCCTAAAAGGGTGCACCCAGCCGGCTTCTTCAAGTCTCTGCTCGACAAGGACTTCAAAACAGACTCAGCATCTATGGTCAAAGTGACCTTGATGCTCAGGCCACCCAACTCAAATATATCTTTCAACTGAGTGGGCGCGAGCGGCCCTGCGTGGAGCTCTTGCAGAGTCACAATCGTGGGATGACAGTCCTCCGAACTACGGGCTGCCGCTTGTGTCTCTGCTGAATAGCTCGAGCGGACCTGCAAGCGGTGAGACTTGCAGTGCGCATCGATCAAGTGAACGACAGGCTTGCCGGATGACGTGTTTCCACGACGTAGCAGGTTTGCCCCGCGAATACCATAACCTTCGACGTCGTCGTCGTCGGCGTCTCCATTCAGGCGTCGGTATCCTGAGTCGCTATGCCCGTAGGAGTCATCGCCTGGTAGACGATCTTCTTTGGGCAGGCCTGTAGCTTCCTGGTGATCGCGCTCAGTCGTCGCACTTGGATGTTGGTCGGTTCTTGGGCAAGTTGTAGAGATACAACATGCGCCATCAACCACACCTGGGTGATTAATGCATACGCCAGCGCGCCCCTGACGCTGACGAACATGTCTGCAACCATCTTGGATGCCTGAGCGTCAGCGCCGGCACCGGTAAGTTCAGGATGTCGTCTAGGACGGAGCTGCTTGATGTATTCATCTTGGTCCAATATGCCATTGCCGTCCTCATCCTTGGTGCATATCACGGCACAGTTGGTGCATGTGTGCTTGTTGAGTTTACGCTTACCAAAGAATGTCTACTACGCACTTGACATACTTGTTAATGGTGTCCTCAGTACCGGCCATATTGATATCATCAACATGCTTGGCCGTGAGCAAGTTGTTGCTCGTCTAGAACTCCTCGTCGCAGGACGTGGGTCGGAAACCAAAACCTCTGGTGGCCCTTCTGAGCTTTAGTGAGAAAGCCCGCCGGGCGTCTTTGGTGCCCGTGCCTGGTTTCAAGCACTGCAGGCAGTGCTTTGACTCATCGTAGCGTTCGAATCCTGGGAGAGTTCGGGGCACTGTGGCCGATCCAGGCGGCATGGTAAAACACGCCACGCGTTCCTTGTCACCGAAAGCCTCAGCCAGTTCCTGATAGGTCAGTCCCTTCAGGAAGGCCATGTTGATGTCGAGTGAAGCAATGATCCATTGCTTCTTGCACGCTGCCTAGCGAGTAGCCTCTGGCTTGGCCGTCGCGCTGTTCCCGAAAAGGTTTCTACGTCGAAGGCTTCAAAGGTCCATGAAACCTCGGAGTACCAGGCGTAGTCTGATGGTGCGTTCCATCTTGCCCTTCTCGTTCCTCGCGAGCTTCCACTTGTACACATATCTCGAAGTCATGATGTTCGACGCTTTGGCTATATCTTGCACATTAAAATACTCGTTGCCGAACCATGTCTTGAGTTCAGTGTAGAGGGCCTTCGATACTTGATCGGGGTTCGCCTGGATGTCAGCTTTCGCGAGGAGGTCGTCTTCCTTGACGACCGCAGCTCGCTTTGCAGCTGCGGTTACGCATACTCGCACAGTGGTCACGCGGCCGGCATCTAGTATCATATGTTGTTGCTCGGGCAGGACTACCTTTGGCACTTCTGCCGTAAAGCAGAGTTCGACATATAGACCATTTTCGTCTGAGTCCAGCCCGTAGCTGTCGTCGTCGACCACGGTACACATCGGGACGTAGTGCGTCTCCTCGGTGTCGGAGTCGCGAGTGCGCCCCCACTTCGGCAGGTGTCCCCGCTGTTCACCAGCTACACTCATCAGCGCACTTCGATCTGGAACCACCTGTGTAGGTATTGGGTATGGTAAAGAGGTCTTCTGGTGGAGTTGCCTCCAGCAGTTCCCTTTACTCTTGTAGTTCTGCATACCACATTTCCATAACATGTGACTCGAGTTCAGCCTCTGATTCTTCGTAAATCGTAGAAAGCCGCCCATCATCACGTGATAATTCGGCTTCTGAGGCTGCTCTTGTGGTTCCATCCGGTGTCGGTGTATCCGCCAATTCCTCAAATCTTGTCATGTCCTGATCAAAACCTGCTTGAGGTTTAGTGGACTTCTGGCGTGGAATAATTCTCGAACGTGCTGGCCCAATTATATCGTGTAGTTTCAGAGCATTACCTTCTGCTTCATAATAATGGAATCCTGGATTCACGTCTTTGCCATGGTGGGCCAAATGTGCAGCTGTCAGCATAAGTAACCGGAGGCAGTTTATGAACACTCTCGGCTAGCCTGGCTGAAACGACATGCTCAATGCGGAAGAGGTTTCTGATGAGGCACTGTAGCGTTAGATGTACCTTAGGAGACAGACGGCGTGCACTCGTCATCTGAAGCGCCCCTTTCTTGGTCGGCACATAGCCGAAGGTCAAAGCAGGTCTCCCCGTTGAAAGACTGGCCACCAATGTCAACACTGTGCGTAGTGCCGTGTTGTCGGAGCCAATCTCTCGGGCTATCGGCGTTTCAATATATAGTGAATGTCTTGCATCGCCGTTTTGTACTTGAACATCTCGATTGCCCACTCGGATGATGACTTGACCCCTTTCGGGATCATTCTTTACAGCTGGGGACGGGCCATTCCAGCCCCCCCAGTCATCCTTCGTGGTCGTGGGG